AAAAAAAAAAAAAAAAAAAAAAAAAAAAAAAAAAAAAAAAAACCAAGACAAAGGCAGGCTTCGGAATGAAAACTGAAGGCTCGAATGGTTCTTGTTGCAGAACGGTGGGACGGTGCTGAAAGACTCGACGACGGAGGAAGTGAGCGGTGGGGTGTCGGCGAAATTCGGCGACTCGCCACCGATCAGTCTGACGCAGGAAGGTGGCTCGCTGTCCGACAGCGGCATTTCCGACAGCGGTAGCGAGCAGGAGCTGAGCGAACGTGAGCGTAGATTGGCCGCCCTTCGTCGACTGACCCGTAGTTTGGAGAATCAGCTGGCGCCCGGAAGCGAGGCCCTCGTCGAGCTATTGAAACGCGTCGAGGACGCGGAAACGGAGCTCCGGGATCTTCAGAAACAGTGCCGGGAGCTGATTGTACGCACCGCCGCCAGCGTCGAGGCGCGTGCTGCGAAAAGGACCAGCAATCAAGTTCATCATCTCGTGGAGTGAGTACTGTGTTCCTTTATCAATTTTGGTATAATTTTGCATCGTAGCAGGTCACATCTTGTGACATATCCTTTATTATATATATATATCCTTTTATGAAGCATATTTCAAATTTTAGATCTTGTTTGACTTTTAGTTTTATTTGGATTCTTTGTTTTGTTTTACTTACTTACATTTGGTTTTCCGTTCTGAATTGGTACTGAGGTATTCATATCTTTGATAAATATTTAACATTTATTATGAAATTTTTCTTTGGTATATTGAATATTATGTTTTACAAAGTGTATTCAGATTATTTTATTTTTTTAATTGAATAATATTGAGGTATTCATCAATAATGTATTAAAGTAAATCTAATTTTAAATTATTAATAATTAATTACTCATATCTATCATGGAATTCTTTATTGTGAAATTAACTGTCCTATTTTGGTAGAAGTTATTAATTTCTACATTCTAAAGTTACTAATCAAGACACATTAGAATTTGCTTCTGTGCTTCACGTAATCTTGTACACTCCCGCTTAGAAGCCTTATGACAAGTTATTTGTTCCAATATACTGTAGATTCTATTCATAAAGAGAATCCATAAAGTGTTAGTATATTAACAAGTATTTTATACAGTACACATACATCCAATAAAAAAAGAAATAACGATGATTAAAAATAAAGGTCTCAATACTTTTGAGCAAGAGTGTACGCAGTCACAAAATTAGCTGACACATATTTTATTACTTAATTCATTTTCTAGCCTACTTCTTTTCGTTGGTTATGTAATGTATAACGTTAGAAATATATTCAAATCGTGTCCAGTGATTAATAAACCTAATTGCATGCAGACAAAATAATTCATCAAATAATCTCGACCTGCCTTCGAATAAAATATTCTCGTAATTGACTAAATTCCTTAACCTTTAATTATTAAAATTAAAATAAGCATCGAGGTAACGCAGTTTTTTCACTCGCGGCGTTAAATTACATTTTTGTATTTTGTATCTTACCATCTCGTTAAACGTAACTACAAGAATTTCCTTGGAAGACGAACGTTAATATGCCAAAACGAAAAACATTGAGAAAAACATACATACGGTCGCTCGTTCTTTTTTGTTTTTAAATTTTTATTTTAATTTATTCAAGCGTTTCAAGACTTTCGAAGGAATAAAGAATGATTTCCTCGGCGCGCATTCCATTTGCATAACATCAAAATGAGCAGCAAAGAATGAAGGCGTCTATTTAAACGCGGAGACAAGTACTTGCTCGTTCATAATTCTGTTCCCATAACGCGTTCACTCATTCGAATATTAGAAGTTAGCTGCGAATGAGTATTTCTCGTGGTAACAGCTTTCGAGACAAATATACCACATTTATTTTTATTACTAATTATTACAAATATACCACATTTATTTTTATTACTAATTATTACAAATATGCCACATTTATTTTTATTACTAATTATTACTGGATGGATATAACATTTATTTGATGAAAATAATAATTATTTCAAGTTATTTTAATTAATATTAAATTTGAATTTCGTAAATTATAATTTCTGGAATATTTAAATTCGTTGTTTTTAATTTCAAAGTTCTCAAATGTTATCTTATTGATAATCATGTATAAATTTGGTTCCTTATTCAATTTTTCATATTCCTTATCCGTGAGAAAATTTTGTCAGTGGTTAAATTTGAATTTTATTCCTAGCGGTATTCACTTGTTAAAAAGTTGGCAGCAATAATTTATCATAATGTCAGTAGTATTAACTCATTAAAAAGGTAGCAATAATTTATTACAACGTAGTTTGTATAATTTCATAGAATTACACAAAGATGTTTTATTTCCAAAGATGATTTTACCTCGTGTAGTGGTTATACTAAGATCGGTGATGGTTGAAACGTTTGTTCTCCCCGTTTTACTTTCTTCCCCTAAGCGGATCCGTTTCGTGATCCGCTCTTTCAATCGCAATTACTCCGAATTCCCATTATCACCGCGCTACCTTATTTAACTTTGTTTGAGGGATGCTTTCCTTTTTTTCTTTTTCTTTTTCTTTTTTATAGTCGCGTTTAATCACTGCACAGTGGCAACGGTAATAGGTTTAGTTTTCGCGAGTATAGAACGCCGGGCATATTGCATCATAAAAAAAGTTGTAAAAGCACCCTTACTCGCGTCGACTACTCGTGCTTTTTCCTCTTCTTTTCCTTTCTTTCTCCTTTTCTCTTTTCCTCGTTTCGATTCTGAAAACGTTTCAGCTTCCATTATTTTTATTTCTTCCAACGTTGATAGCTTTTTCACTCGCTCTCTAGCGAATCGAGAAAGAATGAGAAATGTTTTTTTTTTTTTTTTATCCGTACGAGAAACTGGAAAACACGCGTTCGTTGCTTGGAAAATGCAGGCGTGAATTTTTGATATTGTCGCTGTTGCATCGTTATTGTGAGCGCGACGGTACACTGAAAGCCACTTACCAAAGTGGCAAAAGACGGCAACGTGCGTGCTATTTGATCTCCTTGAGAACTTGCCTTTTACTCATTTCCTCGTCCGGCTTTCTCCCGCGGGACGCTGTAAATTAATTTGCTTGATTACGAGGACACCTTCGAGTCTCATAGCTGCTCGAAGTTGGCGGTTAGTCGACTTTGAAATTAATTTAATCTCGGACATGGAAACTAATCTGATTATAATGTATTCAGTTAACCATTCGCATTTATTTCACCCTATCGCGCGGAATTTTCTTCCTGTGTACCAAGCACAAGAAACCATTACGTCCATAATCAAACCAAAGACCAAACTCTTTCAAACTTCATGATCTTTCAACAAGACGAAAACATGAATTAAAATGATCCGTCAAAAAACGAGCCAAATTCTCCTTTGACAATAAAAGAGATTCCACTTTCTTTCATCCAGCAAGTACCAAATGCAAGAAATCAGCACACATTCTAACAACTTTACCAAACCAGACTAAACTCTTCCAAACTCCATGACTCCTCAACGAAACAAAATCACGAATTAAGAAAATCTATGGAAAAAAGGAGCAAACTCTTCTCTGACAATAAAAAAGGTTTCACTTTCTCTCATCCAGCATGTACCAAGTGCAATAAATCAGTACACATTCTAAAAATTTTACCAAACCAGACTAAACTCTTCCAAACTCCACGACTCCTCAATGAGACAAAATCACGAATTAAGAAAATCTATGATAAAAAAAAAAAGGAGCAAAACTCTTCTCTGACAATAAAAAAGATTCCATTTTCTCTCATCCAGCATATACCACATGCAAGAATCACGAAATAAGATTCCACTTTCTTTCATCCAGCATCTACCAAATGCAAAAAATCAGCACACATCCTAACAACTTTACCAAACCAAAGACTAAACTCTTCCAAACTCCACGACTCCTCAACGAGACAAAATCACGAATTAAGAAAATCTGTGAAAAAAAGGAGCAAAACTCTTCTCTAACAATAAAAAAGATTCCACTTTCTTTCGTCCAGCATGTACCAAATGCAAGAAATCAGCACACATCCTAACAATTTTACCAAACCAGACTAAACTCTTCCAAACTCCACGGATCCTCAACGATCCAAGACGATAGCAAGCGAAAATACCTATGAAGAAACGACCTAAATTCTTCTCTGATAATAAAAACAATTGGATGTTTCTTCTGTCCACTGTGCAGCAAACGGAAGAAGCCTGTTGCCACGGAGATGTCGAAAGAGGGTGCGGAGCTGGTCGTGACGCCCGTGCAAGCGAAAAGCGGAGCCACGGACGGAGGAGATCCCGACAACGAGCCGGGTCTTCCCCACAGCTGGGTCTGGCGCATCCTAAGAGCTGCTCTGCCCTTCCAGTTGGCCTTGGTCGCTCTCTTCTGCGCCGCCTGTCTCCTCGAGCCACACTGCTGCGAGGCGACCAACACGTTGAACTTCTCGTTGACCCCTCAGCTACGATACGTTAGGGGCCCTCCACCTGTGTGAGCGTCGCGACGCCAATCACCTGTTGGAAAAGCCTGACACGGCGTCGCAATTCCATGGAAATTCCACGGGAGTCGAGCCCTCAGTCACCGAGCACAGGTTGCTTGTTTGCGCGATCCGCGATCGAATTAATAGATGGATAGATCGATGATAGATATCATTGCACTGGCTGGAAAGTTGATCGATGAAATGGCAGAGAAGTGAAATGCTTTTCTATTTGTCGTATAATGTAAGAAATGATTAATTTGTAAATGTGAATGTCTCGATTTATGCAGTTTACGAGGGAACTTGTGTAGATTGTAAAAATATTTGTTACAATAATAGTAATAATTTAGGAGAACAGGAATAAATTGACAATTTGAAACAGTCAACTGAAATTAAAGAAGGTCAGAAAATTAGTTCGATAATACATAGTAAATTTAACTCAGTATAACGATTGTAGGATATTGTACATTTTCTAATATAATCAATTATTAAAAAGAAAAAGATAATGTAATTATTTAAAAGTATTATGTATATATTATCTGCAATCAGATCGTGCAGATTGATATTTTTTGGGATTATTTATCGTGTGAATCAAAGGACGGATGTATTTCACTTGTTATTGAAAATACGTGTTTTCTTTCTTTTCCATTTAAACACGGAAGATGATTTTATTACAGTAGATAGTACGAATCAGTGTCTAATCATTAACCAACTTTCCAGCTACTAGGAGCGCACGATTTTCGGGAAATTCGTGGAATCGAGTATCAATTCACGTTGTCAATTAATCTCAGAACAATGTGAAAGATGAAAGATGAAAGTCCAATGACGAGTCAATTAAGTGAACGTTTTAGACGTTCAGTTTCCATTTTGAAAACACTCTGAAAAGTATCCTATGACACGCTATCCTGAACACGCTTTCAATTAGTGTTAATAGCTATTGTCCTTCTTCACTGAGACTGCAATGTTTTTCCTGTAAATTAAGATTATTGACTAATTACTTAAAGAAAACTTGTCGAACTGGCGGCTCATGAGCAATCGTACCCCTCTTTGCGATTCGGGAAGTGGGAGGGGGAAGTCCCTATTCTGTTGTCTTTTTCCTCCAGACTCTCCACGATCATCATTTTTTTTTTGGTAAAAAAAATTAAAAGTACTTTCGTATTAACTTTTTTTTAAATGAGATACGCTAAAGTAATGTAAGAATATATAATAATAATTAATTGTTTGAGATTATTAAGAATGAATTAATTACAGCTCCAGTTATAAATTATGAAAAGCTGAATCATGAGTTATGAAAATGCATCGTCATTGATATTTTCCATAAATTGACAAGGTTAAAGAATTAAAGTAAATGTGTATAATAACGGCTGGGGTCTGGAGGAAGAGAAGGGAAATTTCATCGCTGAGGGGAAGAAGTTCGACAGGTTAAAGAATCGTCGACACGTTCGATTCTCGATCTCATCGCGTTTCTTCAAATTTTGTCCGTTTTATACTTGCACTGCCATCAACGCCCTTTTGAACGTCCGATGTCAATTAAAGCAAAAGCTCAAAACTCACGGCGAGACTGGCAACTTCGTCCATAAGGGAAAACAATTCCTTACACACTGTCCAGGTAGTTCCTTGTTTTATGTACGATCGCGAGAAAATCTGCGCTCGTTTAAAATTGTGATACAGTCGCAAAAAGAAAAAGAAAAAAAAGAAAGATAGAGAAAGAAGAGTGTAGAGTAAATACTATAGAAGTGACTGAGGCGCGACGTAGAAAGACAATGAGCATTAGGTCAAAAAAGAAAAAAATGAAAAGGACACCGACCAACGAGGAAGAATTCTTTTCTTTTTTTTTTTTCGTACGTTTTTACGAGACGAAATATTTGACTTTGTACCGATGAATAGAGGTAAGTATGGTTCTCGTATACATGCTCTGGCCAATGTGCGGAGTCGTGAACGAATGAAACGTTAAGAAACCACTTTAGACAATCCTCGAACTAAATCGAAACGACTTAGCATAATTTTCGCAGTCCTCGAGAGAAACGACAGATTCAACGAAATGCGAAGAATAATACGACGCAGCATAATAATAACGACGATAATAAAGAGATAAGGTTAACAGATATTTATAAAGAGAAAAACTTTATCTTGTATCTAGAGAATTTGCAAGGACGAGTGAATTTTGAATTTTTACTCGCGTAATCGAGTTCGAGGTCTCGATACTGACCACCCCGAGTCAGTAGCGTTTTTTGTTATATAGTATAAATATTTATTTATATATATATATATATGTTGCAAATTATATATATATATACATGTACGTGTATTATTGTTTGTAATTTAATGTCAATCGACAGAGGAGAGATACGTAATTTGTGTTGTTCTCCGAAAAAGCACAGGAAACGAACGTCTTCGTTCAACGTGTGTCATGCACGAAACGTTAAACGATAGTAGTACCATCGTTTCATTGTTTTCAACGATTTTGTTTTTTTTTTTCTTCTGTTTTTTTATGCAGACGATAGCTGCTCGCAGCAAGTTGGTAACTAATAGTCAAATGTTACCCAGGAGAATGCGGAGGAGCTCTCGCTGAAATCCTTACATCGATACTTGCGAGTGAAATAATGGAGATTCTCTTGACCAACGAACGAATTCGGTCAGAATTTTAGCGAGAACTTTCTTCGCCTGGGGATCTTCAGGTTCTCTTTTCTTTGCCAAGGAGAAAGACGTAATAATAAAAAAGAAAAAAAAAAAAGGAAGAAAGAAAGAGACGAAAGTTCTCATTGAACAGGAGAAAAGAGATCTGAACGACGGAGATACACACGAGATTTCTGGAATTCTAATGAAACTAACGCTGACACATACGGCCACGCAGACGGTCGTTATCGCGAACATGATAATTTCATTAAAATGCCAGTGATGTCGTGTTTGAAAGTCGCGCACGTAGTCGCGCGACCGTGCCACGTGAAGTGAAAAGCCGTCTTGCTTCATCGAGCAACACCAAATGTACATCGAGGAACCGCGAGACGTTAGTTGAACTTCAGCGGCCTGGCCGCCGCATTTCTGTTACCCCTTGATCGATACGACTCGCATGAATCACAAGAAGGATCGCGCGAGTATCGAGTAACAATATTTCTTTTCACTTGGTGAAATTAAAGAGACTACACGATATAGATGAATAAATAAAAGAGCAAGGGTTGAACGGAGAAACCCTCAAGTAGCACGATTCGCTGATATTGCGATATCGAGCCGGGAGAATGATAGAAATTCGTGAGAGACGATGATGAAGATAAACGAAAGTGAAGAGGAAAAAGGGGTGAATAACTTGAAAATAAACGAAAGTGAAAAGGAAAAAGGAGTAAATAACGTTTGAAAGTATATAGCTCACGATGTGAATGTTCATCGTTTGATGAATGAATGGAAAATGATGACGAAGACGACGGACACGTATGAAGGTACACGATAAAGATACACGGCACATGGTGAATATAAATGGCAGTTCGAATTGGAACGACTTTTAGCGAGAGTTCGAAGGTGAATATGGAGAAATGAGCAACGACGGAGCTATAATTGCGATCCGATCAGATTATTTTCATCGATTATCCGACATTTGTTTGCCGAGCCAAACGAAAATTGTCGACGCAGTACGATTAAACGTATCTGTGCATATTCTCATTGTTTCTAGTTGGTCGCTAGAAGAATCTTTTTTTTTTTTTCTTAATTTGTATCGATTAAATCTATCTCGATACCATGCAACCGGTACTAACCGGTTAGGGTGTTTTTGTGACGTTTCTTCACGGTGTTTCATTTTAACCGAATCGTGTTTTACCAGTGTGAACTGTATTTAATTCAAAGTATTATTTTGTAAATTGGTACATGTATACAAATATTGGCAAATTTGCTCTTTTGAGTTAAAAAGAAAAGCAAGAGATATGATAGACTGTGGATTTTTATAGGATTTTTGCACACGTGAAACATAGAAAATATAGTGCTCCCTACAAAATTTAAGTAGGTAAAACATATTTTTACATAGATTCTCGTTTCTGAATTATATCCTTGAAAATACGAAGCTGTATCAAAATTCACTATGTTTTAATACTTAGACAGGATCGAAATTTAATTAGAAAACAATGCGTACAAGACGAACTTACTGCCTTCGAGTAAATTTAGTTAATATCAATAAAAATCCAGGTACTGTTTCAAATTTATCGTCGATTAATATTCCTATATATAATTAATAAATTCTTACGTGAATTTTTAATTCCTCTCTATACCAATTAAAAGGTCAAATTCTCTTTTTAAATGAAACAATTTGATAATTGATAATAATAACTTTTAATAATTGATGATAATCCTTTGGTTTTAATCCTCGCAAAAAAATTGTTTCAGCCTCTTCGATTCGAACGTAGTGGCAAATTTAAAATTTCCACGATTCAGTTGTTTTAAATTTCCCGAAAGCTTGTTCCACGAGCTTTGAAATTTACACGATTCGCGCGAAACGAGGCACCGTGTACGCGAGCTTGTATAAAACTTGCAACCGAAGGTTTTCACGTTGTAATCATTGATACTTGCTGAATATTAAACGTCTGTGATTATCCCGATGGTTTACCAAGCGGGCTGATCTCCGATATAATATAGGGAGTAGAGCGAGATTGCAGTTCCGTCACGCAACCTCGAATTCGATCGGTTTAATCCAGCACGATCGTTCGGAAACTTGCGTGACACGGAGTAGTAGATAGGCGAAAAGAAAACAAAAAGAGAGGGAGAACAATTCCCTCGAATTTTATTTTTGTACATCGTAGAGATAATTATTAATTTGATACACCATCTCGATGAACACCACAGTATCTCGCAACTTCGTTCTTTCTACACGATCGAAACATAGAAACGACAGTTTTCTTGTCATAAAAATTCACTACATCTCGTTCAAGCCGAACTGAATTTTTCCATCATCACTTTGTCACTATTCTCAGTTTTCTACGTTTTCTACGATTTGCCCGAACAGTTTACAAAAGATAGAACTTTTGCATATTTTAGATACGATGTAGATCGAACAGAAGAGAAGAGAAAGTAATAAGTGTAAATAGCGTGCGTGTATAAAGAACCGATCGCACTTTAAGGTCGAACGATATTTTTTCTATAAAAAAAAAAAAGAAATATATGAAGCATACGCGTTGTATAACTAATATTAATTTTTTCGTAGAGGAAGGAGTGGGGAGCGAAAATTAAAGAGGTATATTTTGTGAAGTATTTTGTGAGAAGGTTAAGAATTTCAGTTTCGTTAGAGTGTAGTGTAATTAATCTTGCGCTTGAATTGCAGTGTGAATCACTGGAATCGCTTGGTTTTCCAATAAAGAAAACGCGACCAAAAAAAAAAAAATATATATATATATATATATATATATATATATATATATATATATATAATAAGCGAAATAAACAAAAAAAAGTATCAAAATATATTAAAAGTATCAAAACACCAGTAATACGTACAAAAGTATTGGAAGTTTACATTAGTTTCTATGTGTTTCAGCCAACTAGAAATTCGAATCTCAATAGACGTGATTTGGATGTACTATGAAAATACACAGAAGATAAAAATTACGATTAAAAGAATACATTGAAACTTAATCATATACTGTATATATTTTGACTTGGACGTCGGATGCTTAACTTGGCAAATATATAATTTAATACACAAGTTTATGATTACTGACAATTTAATATATTACATATGTCTTTTCTTTTACATACTTTGCAGTATCTTTACAATAAATTATTGTTTTCTTTCATTTAAAATACATTTTTTTTTGTAGGCGCTCATATATTTATGTATGTATTTATATATATATGTATATAGAGTATGTAAGAATTATTTGACGTCCAAGTCATTTGTACAGGATAATCGGCAAAAAAGACCCTGACAAATATAAATCGAAGATCTATGAATTTGACCTTTTTCATTAAATCAAATTTGAACATTTTTTTTTTTGCTAAAAATGGCACTCATCAAAATTTTAGAAGCCAACTTCGAAGAACAATCGCAATTCAATTCGATTTTTTTTTTTTCGTAGGCTGAAAGGTGTATACTATTTCGATAGTATCATATAGATTTTTACGAACTTTACACGCACATGTATTGTAAGTATTCTATATTTTGTACCTTTTTTATTTTTGTACCTGATATATTTGCTCACGACACTTTTGCAGACAACCTGTACATTACATTGAATATATTAACTTAATAGAGTAAATAAAAAACATTAAATTTATTCTCGGAGAAATTAACAAACTCCTTATGTTTCTTGTAATAACACTTCACACACTAAAACGTAATAATAGCTGCTCACGTGTGATCGCATTCTTTTAATTCTAATTTCAATCAATAATCAATATACGTCTCTATATATTCAATAGTTTCTTTTATATATTATATTATACCCTATATTTATTGGATTATAATAAAATTACCAAAAATAAAGTAAACATCGATAAGAAGAAAGAGGACTTTCATTCTTAGCTAAAGCACATTTCACATACAAAAAGCAACAATTAGAGGCCATGTGACATTTTTTTTAACTACCGTAGTGCATGTACAATGTTTTTTTTTTATATTCTAGTATTGGTAATAATAATAATGATAATAATTAGTATTGATAATGATGATGATGATAATAATAATAATAATAATAATTAATGATAGTAGTAGAAGTAGCAGTAATGATAATAATAATATCTTTCATATACTCTTGTTGTTCGTGTATTATTAATGAAAGTGCACAATAATTGTAGATAGTTACTGATTCGTTATATTTGGCCCTCTGTCGGCAGAGTAAAAATTGATTGCATCTAAAGATCCTCAGAACAATTCTTTCCTCATTTTCTTTTTTTTTTCTAAATAAAGTTAGTTCCAGTCGAGACCAGATTGCGACACTATACTTATCAATCCCTTCGTTTTCAAGATTGCATATGAGTAATACCAGCCTGTGTCATGTATTAACTAATTTTTGGGTAATACGATTTATTGATTATCTTCGTTTGAAAGACATGAACTCTATATGCAGCCTTAAAAATGCTTCATACTTCCCTTTTTGCAATACACATACTTAGAATAATATAAACATAACTCGTATACCCTGTGATGATTTGAAGTGTCAATTCTCAATCTGGCCGTATCAAATGTTACGGTCGACGTTACAATACTTTCTACTATATTATGTCCATAAATAACTTGCACGCTATGAGACACTTCTATCGTCTTTGGGTTCTATAATTAGTCAAAGATCTTCAACAAATTCATTAATTGTAAATAATTCTCGATCAACTAACAAATCGTACTTCGTAATACACGCAATCACGTAGATCAAATAATCGTCGCAGATCAATTTTTTTCTCAAAAATACTAAAAAAATTGTTAAAACATTCGAACAACACATATCTGGACATGTGTTAAATATTCATGAGGAATTAATTTTTAAACGGCACGCATGTACAAACGTTGTGCATGACTTATATAGCCTTTACTCGGCTCGACATAGAAACATTTATACTTATCTTTCTCTATGTGAACTATAAAACCCAAAACCAAAAGTCTAATTGGCAGTATAGTGTTGGACGTTGCGCCCAGCGCAAGATGTATAGCAGAGCTGCTGCAGCTTGTAAGGATTGGAAACCTTACTTCTGACAGAAAAACAATGTTTATGCGGCTTGAATAAGATAATGCCAAAGGTTACACGTATGTGGCCATAGTGCCGCTCGGAATGGGTGGTGTTTCTTCCGGTCTACCTTTGGGCCCGTATTGTCCAATGAAAGAACCATCCTCTGTGAAACGTCCTTTAACAGAATAACAATCAAAATTCACAAATTTGCATTTAAAATATATAACTTGAAAATTTTAAAAAAGAACATAAACCATTGATACTGTAATTTGCTTTTAAATGTGTTACTTGACCTACCTTACACTAACGTGGCAAACGCTTGTGAATTTGGCTCTTGTTTACGGTGTCGACCATACTGACCAATGAATGATCCATCCTCGTTCATACCTTCTGCATTAAGTCAAGCAACAAACAAAGCAAAATAAAATGGCCAAACAAAACCATAACATAAATTATAGTGCAAGAAATTAATAACATATGAATTATTCTACTTTGAATGTGTATAAAATGGAAATAAAACATAAATATTTATATTCATGCTTTCTCATGTGCATTTACACATGTAGAAATTGAAGTGCATACATTACTGAAACCTAATGCTACTTACTTCAATTACCTTGTTACTCTGTTTATGCAAATGAACTACTATTATCTTTTGAACTGACCTGTATCTCCCTCTCCATATTCTGCCATAGAATCAGTATCAGATTCAGGATGCTTTCCATCTTGATGGGAAGAAGATGCAAGAGAAGCGCGACCACCTGCTGATTTGGTGTCTAAAGGTTGCGAGTACTCGTGAAAACCACCTTCATCTGGGTAATCACCGCGTCCGGCAGCTAATTCTCTTTCATGCACCGCGTATTTCCCACCTCTGTTACGTTTAATCACGCATACAATTATAAGTACCAGAAGAAGAAAGGCAATTGCTAACATCATTCCTATGAACCATCCAGCAGTCGCGACATTCTCTTTAGGCTGAATGATAGGTCCCTCGCTGCTAGTTTCTACTTCTTGAGATTCACTTTCCGTAAAGTAGTTGCCATCAACAGCAACGACAGACATCACGTAAACCTCACCACTTTGCAATCCGCGAATTTCAATCGTATTCGACTGAAACTCTGGCTCAGTCTGGGTTGATATCGTTTCACCTTTGAGTTTGTACTTTACGAAAAAATGACTTCCCGGATTCCCATTGAGATTCAGCTGCCAGATTATTCTCACATTCGAGTATCCGTTTTCTTTCGGGATGGCTTCCCACGTGAATTGTGGCACGTCAGGGCGTTGAGACGGGCGTGTTTTTTGTTCGATAAAGTAGCTAAGTGAATATAAAACGATATATCGGTTTACACACAGATATAGATATAAAATGAAGGTAGCAAGCAACGATACATACTCGTTTCCCTCTCCAACTTTTGTTGTTGCTCGGATGTGCACACGATACTTTGTGTCAGGCGCCAGAGCAGCTAGTTTTGCACTGGTGGCTTCTGGATCTGTAATATGTGGTTTTCTCTCCAACAAGAGTCCCAGCCTGGTTCCGTTTACAGGTTCGTAATATATTCTGTAGCCAGTCAGGATACCATTTGGTTCTGCAGGTTTTGTCCACACTAAAAACAAAGCGCTAGAACCCATTGGGAATGCCTCAAGATTGAGGACTGTTCCTGGAACGCCTTCTGGTGTGTCGAAGCTTAAAGTTTCAGAAGGTGGTCCAGCATATCTATACAGAAAGATTATCACTGTAATCAAAGTTATATACGAAAGATTATTGCTATTTAATATTCATTACCGTCCGTTGTATGCTAATATTTGAACATAGTTCTTGCTGAAGGGAACAAACTTGGTAACCAATGCGTGAGTTCTATTACCACCTCTTATATCAATTTCTCGCATTCCCTTTTCACCATCCTTTTCTGTCCACGTTTGGATCTTGTACCCTTGTAACTCACCACGTACCGATTCCTCAGGAACCGGATTCCACGAGAATTGTGCGCTTGTACTGGACTTTACTTGATTTAATGTAAAATTGCTTGGGGCTTGCAATGGTACTGCAATATTAAAAATGAGTTTTAAATAGCAATAATCTCAATTCTGAAGCAAGTTACAAATATAATAAAAAATAAAACAAAATCCACAGACCATCTTCCCCAGAGTATCCTGCCACTTCTTCAGGTGCAATTCTACATTCACCTCTTTCGTTAATAGCTACCACTTTAATTTTATATTTTTGATAAGTTGGTTGATTGTCTACAACCAAACTGTTTTTCCTCCAATCATTTATGTCCTCTATAGTCCACTTCTCTCCTGGTATATCACGTCTGTAATATACTCTGTACATGAATTTGGGGGCATTGTGTTCAATCTGTGGCATCACTGTCCAAGATATAACCAGATTCTGCGGTGTTGTTCCCCTGCCCATAACGTTATCAGGATTCTTGTAAGGAACGTCTTGTAACGTGGTGCATACGTCGCTGTGTGGCGAAGGTAACGATGGACCTATTTTATTCCACGCTAATACACGGAATGTATAGTTTGCCCAAGGCGACATTGGAACAACGTATGTTTGTTCAGTTGCTGGAACAGGATCCTTCGATATTTCCCATGTATCCGGCGTGAAAGTGGTGTTGTGTTGAATAGTATATCTCAAAATCGGTGCTCTGTTATCACCCATTGGAGTCCAGTGTATGGTAGCTTCACTGGCCATACAGATGACGCTGATTAATTTTGGCGGATTTGGTACATCTTGTACAACCAGTGTTGCTTGTGCTTTTGCCTCGTCCAACTCGGTATGAGCGACGCAAGTATAAGTACCAGTATCTAGTTCAGTCGTTTTTGTAATCATTAATGAGTAATCAGTGCTTCGGATGAATCGTGGTTCCATCTCAAAATCGATGGGCTCGCCATTGCATAACCAGTCGATCGTAAGTGTTAAACTGGAATCTGTAACGGCGTTGCATCTAAAGGTTGCAGTGGAGCCTGCAGCAACTTCGTAGTCCTCCGGTTCATCCGTGATTCTAGTATGTTCTTTCACTGCTAGATTACCAGAGGCTTCTACTTCTCCAAATTTATTTGACGCGTGGCACGTGTAAGTGCCAGCATCTAAAAATATTACGTTATCGATTTCCAAGTCGCCGGAATCTAAGATCTTGTATCGTCCTCCGGTCAGTTCTTGCCCGTTTCGAATCCATTTTACGGCTGGTTTCGGCGCTCCAAATACACGGCAAGTAACTCTCACGGTTTTACCATCGACCGTAGCGATATCAGCGGGTGGCTGAGTAATTTCAGGCTCTAGAGCTAAAACATTTACGTACACGTCCTTGTACACGTAACCCAACGAATTTGTCGCGTTGCAACCATAATTTCCTGTATCCTTCTTAGTCAATTTTTCGATAATGATGGAATTTGGCGTAACTTTTCTACGTGGATTTGGCGGAGCTTCCGATATCGGTTTGCCATTGTGAATCCATTTTATCTCAGGGACAGGCACTCCATCAGCTGCGCATTTGAATTCAACAGTTTCGTCTTCCGCTGCATTTATAATTTCAGGTTCGATAGTGAAGAATGGCACCGCCATCACTTGCAAGTGAATAGAATATGATTTCGCGTCACCCACACCGTTCGACGCCTCGCAAGTGTACGTTCCTTCGTCTTTGAAATTGACATGTTTAATTATCAATGACTTGCCGTAATTCCCTTGCATTATTCTATCGTTAGTTCTAATTACTTCACCATTCTTACTCCACACTATTTGTGGCAGTGGTGTCCCGCCGTATATGCAATATAATTCAATCTTCTTACCGCGTAAGGCAACTTCATTTTTTCTACTGACGTATTGTTTAACAGGTTTGTACTTATTTTGACTAGCAGATATCCCTGATGAGATAACATTCAATAAAACTCTATTACCTAATTTATATTCATTTCTGAATACAGATGTAGCTGCACACGCGTAATAAAAATCGTCAGAAGCATCGTTTCTTGTAACGTTGCTGAACCAAAGATTCCCTTCCGGATCTAAAGTCATTCGCGAGTTGTTGATCGATTTGATACCACCGGCGGTATCTTGAATTAACCAGTATACATTTGGTTTTGGCCAACCGTCTGGTGGCTGGCAAGTTAGTTTAAACGGTTGTCCTTCGTTTGCATCCAGACTTATGGGATTTTGATCTTTGAACGAGTTCAATTCAGCTTTTCTGACAAACACTGAATTGGACGTTGCAATTCCCCATTCGTTCTCTGCGAAGCATTGATACTGGCCCAGATCTTCGTCTCGCGGTCTAGAGATCACCAGTGTACCTCTACCAGGTTGTTGGGATATACGGTCATCATATGCCGGCCACTCAAAGTTTTTTCCATTTTTAATCCATCGATACCTGTATGTAAAATTGTTAAATAAAATTAACATTCTTAGTAAAAGTAAATATTACCATTGCTTAATTATTACTATCGCGTTAAAAATAATGCAATATTGATTATAATGTGATATTCTTTATTTTCCTTCAGTATACTGTCGGACCACTCCCATGTATCTACAATTCACACTACAAGCAAGGTATCTTTATCAGTACTGGTAACTTTATACCCCCTAAGGCTATGAGGTCATCTTGGTAATTAAGACCAGTTATTCTGGCTTCTTTGTAGGATAGAGATAATGTACACGGATGCGAGTGCAATGAAACCGTATGAATGAAATCTTCTATTCTTAACATTTCATTATCAAATTATTGAATAATAATTATCTTCTTCTACTCTCGACGTTCCGTTATTAAATAATTACATAATTCTCTTTACAAGATTTTTTCTCTCCTCTGATTAATGTCGAGAATGTAAATCAACATAACAAATAATCTTTTCATAATCTTTTCCATCTCTTTTCGAAGCATTATGTTTTAGAGAAATTATCTACTTTTATCTACAAGAATTCTTATTTAAAAAATTACAATAAAGTAGCAAAATGTATTTTTATTTGCTTTCCAATTGAATGAACTTTACCTCGGAGCCGGTTCTCCTTCCGCTTCGCATTCAATTAAAAATGGTTTGTCATTCTCATTAATCTTTGCCTGAGCCACTTGAAATAACTGCTCATCTGTCGGGGGTTGTTTGGATATCCGTGGTGGAGATTGGACTAATGGAAGATACAAATGACAAATGTGCATTACTGTTACACACTATGAAACAATTTGTCGATAGGGTGTGACGAAATGTACACTATGCAGCAGTAATGAAATCTAGTATTATTATCTAAACAAATAGGAAATTAACGAAACTATATATTCTCAGAGCTACTGAATGAAATCAAAAGAATTATTGAAATGCTTTTGAGTACAGTGGAAATGTAGTGGAAACAAAAATGCTTTCCTAAGATAATGAATGTTAACAGGTGTTAAACGTCTCAAAAAAAAGCAAGTAAAAGCAAAATACATTTGTACTCGTATGAATTTTATATTCTAACGATGCAAAGAAAGTCGTTGATTTTAAAGAGCCATCTGTTCTATGTGAAAACAACTAGCTGCGTCTAACAAGTCTGTTACGATTTTCACCTCCTATCACATCCAGGACACGAACTATAATTAAAAATCATAGACTGTTATATCATGAGAACTGATTGGCCGTAACGAGTGTTAGCTCGAATTTATTGTGACCGATATATAAAACGCGATGACGGGATTATACTCACTTAGAGCTGATGCTTGCAGTACCACTGTTGAGATGATACACACGATGAACTTCATGATCGGTATAGTATTTTCTTGATCTGGAAACACAAGGTTCTCATGAATAAATTCCAACTGTAAAAATTTCTAGAGAGAGAGAAAGAAAGAAAAAAACGCCGACGAGATACATTCCAGGAAAATACTCGCGACAAGTTGATTCATCTCAGTCTTCGTGATTTAAACGAATTTGACAATTGAAGTGATCGGAACTTCTATCGCAAATTCTATTCGTAAGTGACTTTTCTTTTTTTTTTTTTTCTTGCGACAACACTGAGTCAAATTTCACATTTGTGCATGAAGTATATAAATCTGCGTAAGTTTTGCAATCGATGTACAAAAATTTCGTTTGAAATAAATATGCCAATATAACTTGATATAAGTTATTCAATATTAAGTTACGTTAAGCTATTCAATATTATACATAAGTTATCCAAAGTGTGAAACTTGTTTATGCCTGCACAGAGATTACCAAAAACCACCGAAACCTCCGGTAAATTTCGGTAAACACATTACATTCATTTATCGTCTCGGCGATCTCTTAGATTTGTAGCTCCGACGTCGAGCAAAATTTTCAAATCCGCTAGCGAACAGTTGCCAACGAAGGTGTGAAAAATGGGCGTGCTCTCCCGTGTAAAAAAACTGAGGAACAACGTACGGAAAACCGAACATGTGTCATCCGGGGCCGGCTAATACATCCACACATACGTACGTATATCTTACGTGCAACTTCTCTCAGAGGTATCGCGCAAACTCTACATTATATGTTTTCATAAATTTTCGTAGCGGATGCAGATGAAACGGAACATACAAACATTTGTGTGTGTTATGTGTTCGTTCTAGGATCGCGCATAATCGTCGGGAACAGGTGATAGTGTCACGATGATCTCACCGAGGTTGTCCTTCGAAATCACAACATCGCCGATGGATATTTTACCGCTTGGCCGTTTCGTTCGTCCGGCTTTCCCGCGACACGTTCGCCCTGTTCTTACGACGTTTAAAGCAATCTGTATCGATCGAGCGTCAGTTAGGAAACAGATATCCTACGGGGACCAAAAGGGGAAAAAAGGGAACACACGGGGCTGGGCAAACGGGCACACCCGCGAACCAACATTGATCGCCGACGCTTCGTCCGTTCGTTTCACTCGATGCTTCTCCTGGCTATTTTGCTCGGCCTCTCGGCCGTACGTCACTATTATCAGTTATACGTTTGCTCGCGTCAATGATGAAAGCTCACCTATCCCAACGTTTTTTTAGGATGTGTTTCGATTATTAAAATCCCGTCATTACCAAGGCATCATCGGGAAACCACTGACTGGGACACGTAACGCACCGTACGGTACTGTACACTAGTGTGGATGTGCACGTTGCATGTGTTGCAGGCTTGATCCCCCCACCAAGCACCTCCGGCCACACCGATTCACACTGTTGTGCTGTCGTCACTGAACTTTAAGACTTGTTCACACTAGCATGCGACAGTGGTCACAAATGTAGCGCCGAATCTGGCCAGCAAGTAAGGAAGTATAGAATTTCCTTGCACAGTTGATCTGATATTGGCAATGATGAATGATTACTATTATATTAATATATTATTATTATTATTATTATTATATATAATACTATCATATATTATTCATATTATATATTGTTATAATTATAATATTATTATGTTACTAATATATTGATAATATCATCAAGAGAACTTAATACATATATTAATAATAACCTGTTAACACATGTACATTGATATATTAAGTTTGCTCGAGGATATGTTTAAGGACGGAAATTTTGAAACAAATTAAATTCATAAATCTGTGAATCATTCAGAACCCTCAAAAGTTACCAACATACCACAAAATTTATTAAAACTCCAAAGATCTCAGATTTCAAATTTTCCGGACCGGTTGACCAGTATCAAAACGTATTTCGGGTTTGTATTTTGATGGCAAGATTTTGTATCGTTTCAAAATTGATATTTAAACACTCGTTCTAAGTATTAGAAACTAAAGTTCTATGATGCAAAAATCTTGCACGATAAAATAACCGTTTATTAATACTGCTTTCTTTTGGATAATATCAAATGTTTACAGTTTCTTTTCTTTTTTTAACAGAGTCGCTGTTTTAATAGGTCGAACGAACGGTGTGAGTATTCCTTTATAGGAGTGAATATGTATCTCTTGTCCAATAACGGTCGAGACCGATCGAAGGTGTCTTGTCGCGCCAGATTCAAAAAAGGTGCGTCCCCTAAGTAAACGTTGCTACTATGTATAGGATCTTAAAGTGCAGCTGCGTGTACTTTGCAAAAAGGGGGAAGTGATATATTTTAAAATTGACGTTAAAGAGGGGTAAATGACGCATCGTTACACGAACGGTCTAAATACGATATATTTTTCCTTCTAAATATGATATTTTTCTTACATTTGAAATTCATTTCGTGTATCAGATCAGCCAGTAAGTTTCACTCGTGACACGCGTGAATGCAAAATTTACGAGTTTTACAAAGAAGAAATAGAAAAATCGACAAATTACAATTATAGATTAATATAGATAATAGTTAAAGATTATTAAAATATTTATATCAATAAAGGTCACATTACTTACTGGATGTTCTAATATATTATTGATATGTACAAAAACGAATCGATATAATATGCGTAATAAGATAACCAATGTATATTCTAAGAACCAGCAACGGATCTCTTGCGTGATAAGAAATACTCTGTGCAAATTTAAACTTCGATGGAATGCTTGGTATAAAAATGTAGATCAAGTAATATGCTACAATTTGTACGAATATTCTAGCGATTTATCTTGTGTTGCAGGAAAGGTGCACGAACGAATACAAATTGTATTAACAATTACTTGTGTGAGCTTATTTGGTGTTCGCCAACTCGGACCACACACAAAGGGGCGACGAGCGTTGCTTACAGAACACTTACAATTAGCCGCACCATTTCTTTAGACGTCAATTTATAGACTGCGTCCTATGAGATGTGTTGGATGGATACCAAATAAGTTGATGTTCAAACTAACAATAAATATCATATCTCTTTCGTTTTATTTTTTCGCCTAATCAATCACATTTTCCTCTTATATTACAAAACGAAGTTATTTTAAGTTAAGAATTAATTAGGAATTTTATTATATTAATGAAAAACTACGAAACATGTTTGCATATAATATTTAAGAAGATATATAAATATTTATTCCTCTTGGATAAATAATGGCAAGTTTAGTCATTTTCATTTCATTCGTGATTCTTATTTGATATCCTATACACAATGTATTATAGATGTATAATTTGGCAAAGTGTCAAACACTGCAGCACTGATCTATAGAACATGTAAGATCGTTACAAATTTAAATTCAGCTATGTAAAGTCGACAAACACAAACTTGTATTTTGGGCCGATACATTTTTATAGAGATTTAATTTTCTTGCAATTATAAATTTATTGCTTTATTGTCAGTTTATAAAATAAACGTTTAATAATAGTTTATATCATGTAAACATTAATAATAGCAAGATTAATGACAAAAGAAATCAAATTCAATTTCTTTTATGTAGAGTTGGTACAATTTAAAAAATAAAGAACAAGCCTTAATGTTTATTTGTGTTCTATCTGGGTAGTTTTCTGATTAATAACATTTCAATCAATAACATTTAATTTCATTAAAAAACATGATATGACAAAAATAATTTAAATATACAAGAGCATAATTAATACATTTTATATCTATTTAAAATCTATTTAAAAGTAATACAGTCTTGCACATTTGTATAAATTAAAGATCATTTTGTAATTATTTATACATGAAACATCTCGAAATTGCTTTCCTTTCATAATACATTATATTAGACTATATAAATAATATAAGTTGAATTTTTCTAATTATTAAAATTATACAACTTGATACTGTTCTGGTTCTACTTCATTTATATGTCGTAAAAAGAATGTGACTTTAACTTGTTCAACGTGACGACAAAGTTTCATAGCTAAACTTGTTCTCAATTTCATATGTTGCGTGAGAGACGGTAGATTTAGTAGTAAAAATGCTAGTCCGTCAATTTCCTGTAAAAAAAGAAAAGAAAAAGAGAAATAAATAAATGGAATATATTTATACTTATTGATTACTTATATTTCTATATACATTACCTCCTGTTTGACTCGATATGCAATATCTTTACAATCATTCGTTTTCCTTAAGTATCTAAAAACATCGTCTACAGTCCAAAATAATGGATTCGAATCAAGTTTGCGGGTCTTTGGACGCCTTTGTTTCTTTTGCATCCTCACATATTCTGATTCTCCATCTGAGCCATCAGATTCAATACTCGTATCCCAATCTCGTTCTCTCTTACTTGCCCTAGTAACAGTAGTACTTTGGCCAAATTTCAATGAATGCTGTTTATTATTTAAACTATTGGGGCTGCTTCTGTCCTTCGCCTTCCTATTATCATTGAATGAACTTCCAGAATCATCTGATGTATTGCTCGAAGGCGGCTCAGTTTTAAATTCATCTGATTTTTCTCCCTTCTCTAAACCTTTCTGAATCATGATATCTATCTCAGAAAGTGGCGGCCTTCCATCCAGAGTTTCTTCAAGCTCTGATACGTGTTTGGCTAAATCTAATGACATGAATGGCATTTCATCTTCTTGCTCGAAATCTTCGTGACTCTCCTTTTCTCTGTTTGCCCATCTTCCGCGTCTCCTTTTTCGCCTACCACCCCATGGTTTTGGTTTTTGCACCATGATACTCGTATAACCCTTTGGCTTACCTCTTCGACCGGTACCGACAGATGCTGCAGAAATAAAAGGTGAATTAATATAAACAAATCAACAGAAACAGAGATTACAAATGAATTATTAAATATAAAAGAAATAGTACGTACTGAATTTCGTTTTTGATGTTTTGTGACATTTGTCCGGACATTCATTTTCAGGTACATATAAAGGCCCAAATAAATTTGGGCATACCATTAATTTTTTACAAATATTTCTGCAAAAATCAGCCACCATATCTCCGGATGTAACTACAGCAACACTTGCGCGATATGTATTGTTTTTATGTTTAGCTTTTAAAACTTCTAAATGATATCCCGGATCTGGTTTAGAATCACATTGAAGGACCTTTAATATCCGAGCACTTCTATATCCAACAGATACGATCATTGATAGAACTTCTCTCATAACTAAAATTACAGGGCCAGGTCCCACTGCTTTTGGCAGGGTTGCTAATTTCCCTTTAGAAATCATAGGACCAGTGAAACAACGGTAATTGAAATATATTTTCGGACACCATAATGAAGAACGTGGTTCAGATATTGGTATATCTAAAACGTTAGCCTTTTTTTCTTCCTTTGCAGGCATTTGCAATTGTTTACAAACTTCCATATAGTCTTTTGGCGGTTTTAATGGGTAATGATTAGATTCACACCAACCAACCGGAAATATTTGTAAGGAACGCATATCAACTATATGTTCTGGTCTCGTATTTTCATAATTATCTAATTTTAACCATAAAAGATTATCAACAATCTTTGTAATATGCGCAGCACATATGACATTCTCACGTTCTGGATCAACTGCTTCTAACCGCATGCCGCATTCAAAGCCGGCATCAATGGCATTTTGTCTTTCTGGGAACAATTTTTCCTCTGCAGCAATTGCTTGAGTATCTTTCAAATATTCGTCCCAATCGAATTCATCTTCTTTTGGAGTCCAACCATTTGGATGTACAATTCTAAAAAGCATTGAAAATGTTACATTATATTTATCCCTGAATCAAATATGAAGAATTTTGTGTATATTTTTGACATTAGATATAAAGATACATACTTTCATAGCTAATAACTTTTAAGATTATAGTATTAAGGATTAAAAACTTACTTAATATCATGTTTCTTTGCCCATCCAACTGGAAATATATAAGGATGTTCTGCTGTACAAAGCCAGGTGTTTTTTTCTGTACTTCTGTACATGCAGGTTTCAATATCCATTCCTTTTGACAATTCATCATATGTGTCAATATGAACAAGAAAATAAGTATCATCAAATACTTTTATGACAGTAGCTGGACATATTTTTATTTGATCAATTGGACTCAATGCTTCTAATTTCATGCCAACTTTAAATTCATGTTTTGGATGATCTACAGCGTTGTGAAATAGTTCTTCTGGAAGATCATAATTTTTTGGTATAGACTCTAACAAATCTTTCCATTCTTCGTATGTATGCATTTCTACTATAGAACTAGGTGGTTCTAGAAACCAAGTAGACTCAGATTTAGATGCAAATCCATAGGGATGAAGATGTTCTGATGTACAAAACATCCAAAAGTCTTTACGTGAAGAACCAGGAGTATCATATCTTAATAGAAGTCGTCCACCTACATTTTCTATAATCTAAAGAAACAAAGAATCAATTAAGATATGATTCTTATAAAAATAATATTAATTATAGAAAATTTGTGTTATTTCTTACCGTGGCTACCCATAATTTGTATGGATGTAATGTATCACTAACTTCAACTTTCATGCCTTGTTTAATTCTCTCTGTCATGCTAAGACCATCCTATATAGAGAAAAAAAGGAAAATTGAAAAATTAAATTACAATCTTATTTTTGTATAAAATTTTTTACAAATTTTCAACTCACTCCTGATAACATTTCTGGTGGAACACTCCGAGTTGTTGTTAAGAATTCAGATAATTTTTCTACACAGTCTGGTGATCTTTGAAGAATAATGTCAGTTGGTTTCAATTGTTTGTTGTTCTTCACACACCATCCAAGTTCATGAGCAGCTTCTTTGGTAAGATTAAACCAAAACTCCAAGGACCTATCATCTCCACCAAAATAACGTAATCTTAATAAAGGACCACATGCCATGACAATAGAAGCAACCCAATAAGTGGTGTCTTCTTCATCAGCTTTTTTTGGAATTGGCACCTCAAGAGACATGCCAATTTCAATACCACTCTGCAGTGTTAGCTCAACATGTGGAAACATAATTTGTGGTACTTCAACACTGTTTGTAGCATCAAGATAATCTTGCCAAAAGAAACCATACTCTGAAAAATGAATTTTCATTTCAAATTTTATAAGATATCATTTTTAATTACTGCAATTTATGAAATTTATTAATTTATATTTATATTTATATGTTACATTATTTATATATAAATTAATTATTTATCTTGAATTCTAAAATGTTAAATATAATTATTAATTATTTAATAAAATATTTTTATTAAAAATAATTAATTAAATTAATTAAATTATTTTTTTTTATTTTTAATAATAATTTTTCTATGTTATTTTTAATAATTTATAATAAAATTTTTATTTATTACAAAATTAATTAAAATGGCACGTGATATTATTTTATTAAAAAAAAAAAAATTACATATATCTTTTATGTTTTAAAACTATGTACACATATATATCTAATACTCATAAATAGATTACAAGATTCGTCATTATCATGACGATACGATTAATGAAATGAAATAAAGTTTACTTGCGCCTTTCATTAATGACCTCGTGAAATTCGCATTTCTATAATATATGTCATTAAACACTCGGCGATCGTATGTAATGCCTTCTAATACAATCAACGATCAACAGACAAAGAATCAGAATTGCTTTAAAAATTTTAAAAGGTTACCGAATAATCATAATTTCATTACAAATAACATTGACGTTATATAATAAAAATCGCGCCAACGGAACAATGTAAAATAATTAAATCTAAATTAATTTAATCTTACCTCCTTCTTGCACTTTCTCTTGTGATTGGTTTTCGCAAGGTTCCATGACTTCGTTATAATATTATAAAGCCTGCACATAAATACATTAAAATCAATTTCCATCGTGGCTCCGTTAATTGGATAGTAAATAAATTATTAAATAATTTCTGCTAAATGTTTCTAATAAATTGTGCAACAATTTGCAATTTACCTTTTTTGTAAGAAAGCGCTTATTTTCGAAATTTGCGTAGTGTTTGTTTTAATGAAAAATAGTATCCTCAAACGTGGCTGTCCCGTGCCGCTTTGCACTGGTCTACTGTATGCATATCTTTCTCTTTTGTTTCCTATCTCTCTCAGCGGTACGCTTGGCGCATTCGTCCCGAATATCAGAGCTACCTACTTTAAATTGGGCACCATTTTGAATTTAGTTTCAACTAAATTTTCCAAAACATATTCATATTTACGTTTTTCCCTATATTTCCTGGTGTTATTTCAAAAATCTTCATCAACGCCGGTAAACTAGCGACAGTTCGTACCTTGCTTTTCATACTACCCAAGATTGAGAACATTCGCGATTGTTCGTTAGATATCATTTTTCATTTTGTTCATTGTTTTTCACGTTTATCATCTCACCACAAGGAGAGCATTATCGATCATTCAAATGATAAATTTTACAAGTCTCGGCGAACTGCGACGACAAAGTTGCGTAGAACTCTTTCTCTCCTTTCTTGTTTATTTTCTTCTGTTAATATTGATCCATTACAATCAATTGTTTAATAAGATAGACCAACAAGGAAAAGTTGCTAAGTGCAAATGTAGAGTATTATTTCGCTTATTATATGACATTACATCATTATTTCGTAAGTTTATACCTTAATATCATTGTTATATTAATTCGAATATATGATCGTTCTTGTTTTGTTACATACATATACATATATGTATAATTAAAATGACTGTATGAGGAAATTTAAATATATGTATATATATCTGTATCACATAAATGCAATAATAAGCTTTATTGATTCATAAATGAATTAATTTTAATATTAATTATATATTAATCATGTATTTTTATATATATTATAGTTGTATAATTATTAAATAGTGTTGTTTAAAATGCAACAAAATATATTAAGAAATGAATCGTGTATATATACATATATATATATATATATATATATATATATATATATATATATATATATATATATATATATATATATTTTTATATATTTNTATATATATATATATATATATATATATATATATATATATATATATATATATATATATATATATATGTATGTAATTTTAAATATTCCTTATAGATAATCGATACAATTGGTACGATATGTTTTTCAATCTAATTTTCAATCTAATTAAATATTTATTATTCAATATATAAATTAAAGAAAATAGCAAATATACATACGTATAAATAGCAAATACACATATATGCATGCATATATATAACGATACATACATATATATAACGATTTCATAACTGAAATTGAAATATTTTGTACATTTTATGACTTTACGTGAGCTTGCTTAGAGGTTCTGCTTTTCTAATAAATTGCATGTTTGAATTAAATTACGTGTGTAAAAAATGAAGCGAAGAAAAAAAATTTATGCATCACAATATTATGTAAAACCAAGTAAATTTAATTGAATCGAGATTGCAAATGATGGAAAAACTAAGTGTTACCAATAGAGCAAAATCAAAATATCGTACATAAATGAACGTTTCATTTTTTATTTCTGAGTCTGCAGGAATTTCAACTTCTTACACAAGTATAAATTTGTATATTTTAACCAGAATATTTTAAACCTTAGGAATATACATACAAGAATATACATATGTTATTTATGAAACTTTATATTTCTTCAATGTTTTCTACACTGATAGCACGTGTTGTCACTCTTCAGTTGTAACTGCAAGTATGAGAGAGAAGGTTATATTTTTACTTAAAGTTGTATAAAAATGTGAAATATAATATGATTGTACGATAATATGTAATAAAACATGTTTCCCCTAAAAGAATGCTTGTTCAACATTTGCCAATATTATAGAAATTTCCTGATTACAAGTAAATTGTTTGAATCACGTTGTTCAGTGTTGTTTAACCTGAATAGGGGGGTTAATTTATCTGTGCAACAATTATTTTGTTCGAAAACGAATTTACTCGTAACTGATGAAAATGTCAAGAAATGTTTAAATTATCTTATGAATGCATATCAAGGTAATGAGAAAGGAGCAAGCGTTTCTGAAATTCTTAAGTTAAGTGAAATCCCGCCACTGTTGAACAACAAGATTAAGATAATTGAAAACATAAAGAGTTTGAACGACTTTGGTATGTATCTTGTATCGTTTACTATTATATATTAGTTTATGACTAAACTCTTTTCCTCGATGTTTAACAAATCTATGTATGTTTATCTCTTACGTTTTAGCATGTGAAAATGAAGAAATGAAAGATCTTGCTAAGGAGGAAGAATTAACATATATGCAACAGATGTCACAGGTTGATGAAAAAATTTTAGATGTTATTTTACAATATGGAAGTGTAGATAATTATGATAATGTTATTATGGAAATAGCACCAGGTGTAGGTGGTCAAGAAGCTATGTTGTTTGCCAAAGATTTATTAGCTATGTATATAAGTTACTTTGAACATCTGGGATTTACTTATGAGATATTGGAGTTGCTTGAATCAGGTGGACTAAGAAAAGCTACTTTGTTAATAACAGATAGTAATGCTTTCAAAAAGTTAAAGTATGAAAGTGGTGTGCATAGAGTACAAAGAATTCCAACAACAGAGAAATCTGGTCGTATACACACCAGTACAGCTGTTGTATCAGTCTTACCAGAACCCAGAGATGTAGATATTAAATTAGAAGAGAAAGATTTGATAATAGAATCAAAAAGAGCATCCGGAGCTGGAGGCCAACATGTAAACACTACAGATTCAGCAATCAGAATAACTCATGTACCTACTGGTAAAATTATAACTTGTCAGACAAGTAGATCTCAAATAGAAAATAGAAAGCTAGCATTGAGAAAACTGAAAACCATTCTATTTGAGGAACAGTTGGACAAACAAATTTCATTTATTAACAAAATACGCAGGAAACAAATGGGATCGAGATTAAGGAATGAAAAAATTAGAACGTATAATTTCAATCAAGACCGACTTACGGATCATAGAATACCAAATGGTACAATGTATAATTTAAAAGAATTCATGGAGAAAGGAGAGGCTCTGGAAGTACTGGAGGATAGATTGCATAAAGATATGCATCTAAAAACTAGGCTGGAGATTATAGAGGAAATGATAAATCAATTCAAGTAACACACTAGTTCAATTTCTGCCAGTTTGATAAGAAACGATTTTCATTTTACATAGGCAAGCCATTGTACATAGCAAATTGTAATAAACTCTGTGTAATACAAGTAACATCATTTGTTTTTCGGATGAAAACTCGCCACGTCTCCTATCAATAAAGCCTTTCTGTTTCGCTCGGAGGAAGCAGAGAGCTATTGAAGTAGAGAGTTCAGTTGTTTATTTGAAAAACATACAACAAGTTTTTCTTCTCTTTCTTGTCTTTTACTTTTGTTTCGTTTTGTTTCATAAACCGCGTGTCCAAAGGCACACATCCTTGTAACTCTCGTATAATACATTAATATACAAAATTAATATTCATAATCTCTATAAATATCAAACGACACGTTTTACATCGGTTAATGTATAAAGCGCAAAATATTTGTATGTGTGTACGTGAACGTGTTTCATAATATCATGAACGTGTGACTTTTGTATACGGCCCTGCTCCTACGTACATACAGTTTCCTATAAAATTTTACTATGGTTTAATATTCCAAAAATTAACGTCAGTGACCATGGTGAATTAAGTTCGTGATAAATGAGACTCTATCATTTCGTTGCAACTTCCTTTAACCGATTATCCCACGAGATGTAGGTGCATCCTCCACCTACAAGCGTTTCTCGTTTGAATTAACTTCCTCCTTTGCGCTGCACTTTAAATCTAGATTTCAAACGCGTCATGTATGTTCCGGCTGTTCTAGAATTTCCTTCCTACGCGTGGATTGGTCGAGTGTGCGATTCGTAGAACCAATGGTAGCAACAGCGGTTTGAATGTACAGTGCATTTTATGTTTCCTCATTTGGTATTTCTACACGTGACTCTTCATTCCGTTATAAGAAGGTATATTTTTGATTATTTCTTCTTTGTTGCCTATCCGTGGATCTACGTGGATTTATAAAATTTTGATTATGTCCATTTGTTAGTGTTTCCCGTTTTCGTTCCAATCGTACAGACAAAGAATAAGCGCTGTAAATCCTACGAGAATTTTTGGTCAAGTGGAAAGACGACCAACAGAGTTTCAACTTATCCTTTACAGATCAATATTGTCTGTCGTTATCAATCGTTATAATCTAATCGTCGAAGTCTAACGAACAGAATCGAATCAACAAGAATGAAAAAAAAAAAAAGAGACAGAGCAGGGGCGTATACGAAACAAATACCGCATTGTGTTCCGGGCAGTAAGATTGTTCTTTAGGACTAGTTCGGCACCGACTCACGGGTATACATCCTATTTAAATCCTGTGAACCCTGATCCCGTGACATAGTATAATCCTCGAGGTACATTGATGATTGGACCAATTAGCGTGTAGATGCAGACCCTGCCTGCACCATCGTCAAAGTACCATCCAAGGAGACAGCACCAGGACTTGGAGAATCCCTCCCTATACAGCGTTGCTATAAATGCTAGAACATCTTGATAATCGCGATAACTATAAAAAACGGAAAAACAATATCGGCCGTAATAATAACAATAATAATAATAATAATATCGACTCATAACGAATTATCTCGAATTGTACTTTTCCTTCGTTCAATATGTTTCTCTTTCATTCAAAATTGGTTGGCAAAGATAATACGTTTCTGCGAATTTTCTAATGACGTCTATCATACTGCACAGTGTGAACGACCGTCGTGAAAATAACCGTCTCGTCGAAAAGGAAAAGTCAGCAGCGCGTTAATTTAGTCTAACTTGAAATTTCAATCGTCTCCTATCTTGCTCTTGTCATCTTAACGAATCCGTTTCAATGAAACCGATTCGTTAGGATCAACCAAAAACGACTCGTTGAATCAGAGTATAGATCATCGACGAAAGGAAAAAGAGGTAGACATTCGGTGCCATGCTCGAAGCCAAGCCGCAAAGATCTTTAATCTCGCTCTCCCTTGAGTGGCTACGAATACAGGATTGAGGTCTCTTTCGTTTCAAGGTGGTGAGCGCCTTCTGGCATACCAGCGAGTTGTTCTCGTAAATTATTTCTTCTGGAGTGATGGTCAAATGGGGCATCGTCTGTTCGCAACCGTCGTCGGTGTTAACAACCAGAAGGATCATGTTGCTATACTCGACCGGCTGCACGATGTATCTACACTTCGTGTTTACGCCTAACTCTATGTAAGACAGGTTGAAGGACGCGTTTCGCAAGTACAGATACACCTGGTAACAATTGGAAAGAACAAACAGTCGGTAAGTACGTCGCGGTATTATGGTTGTTGGTGAGTTCATTCTATGAAATTTACCTCTTGGTCACAAGCTTCCGGTCGTGTTCGATTGATCAAAACCTTTTGGTCGAATAGCTTTTCATCTTTAGGATCCACTGGCGGTTTCTCCCCGTTTTCCGGATAGTCTTCGTGCATGCCTTCATCGTCGTTCGGGTAAGCGTATGCCTCTGCGTACTCGGATTCCCAAATTCCAGCTTTAGCCCAGGCCCAGGCCGCTTGCCCGACCAGCCACGAAACCATCTGCTGCGCGTGTTTCCATGGCTAAACGCGATGCAACGCAATGAAAAACTCGTTGAAAAATATCGTTTACGTAATTTACTTAATACTTAATATTCGACGACTTATATAAACGAAAGGAAGAAGCGGTCTTACCGTCAATAAAATGCTTCCGTCGTTGCTAGTTTGCGTACTCTTGAAACAGACTGCCTGATAGTCAAATATTCTGATTTTTTCGAACACACCTTCCTTCACCAAACTGGACATAATTGGCCCACGCAGCTCACCGAAGAACTGTCCAGCGTCAGACCTATCTTCGGCTGCGATCACGTATCCATTGTCGTCGATTAAGTAGCAGGCCCAATTATCAGCAGCGCAGTCTGTGCACTTCTCGTCTCCTTTGCAGCTGGATGTGATGTTCTGGAAGAGAGCCTGAAGAGCGGTATGTTGGAACTGAAAACCTACGACCGCAGCCGGTGCCTTTTCTTTCTCAGTTCCTGAACAACAAATGCTCCCTTTAAATATCTTCCAATGCCTTTCCCCTCCCCTCTTTTCTTCTTTCTTCCTCTTTTCACTTTCCATTCATCTCTTCAAATTTCTTTGCTTATTGATACTTTACCAATAAAAATGGCACGGCTAGCGGTGACAAGGGTGGTGTTGTCCGCCCCTTCCTCGTCGATTGGCACAGAGAAGACAAAGCTGTCCGAGTTCACGTAGTGCTGCTCCACAGCACGCTTGTACCACACTTCGTCGATGGCTCTCGGATACATTTTACTGAAGTGGTCGTCCTGGTCAGGTTTCTCCTCGTTTGGCAAGAAGTCCTTCCATCTTGTCAGGCCACTGTGAGTAGCCATGAAGGCGAGCGTTACGCCGAAACGTTGTTGGAAATCTTTCCTACAAGAAGAACGATGTCAGCCGTGCATGGAAGATACAAAGGTATTTTCTTAAAGTTCAAATTCTCCTTTGTTCTCTAAAATACTGCGATACTATGTTTGATACGAGATACTGCATTATGGGAATACTGTCGATTACTGGCTGTGTGTGTCGCTCAATTGCTTCGCTTTCCTAGATATTTTTCTGATTACAGTCACAGTTTTGATCTTTTTTTGTAGATAGAGATTATCACAAAAAGCTTTGCAAATGAGTGTTGACTACTATACAATATATATATATATAATGAAAATGATTCTTCAGTTTCCAGTTTGCCAAAGTGTCCTCCTCTCATCACAGTTTCCAATCCTGAAAGTGTATCTTCTTCCTCTCGGACGAGATAATTCTTTCTACTGATTAGGTGTACAAGGAATAACTGACGAATGAAATAAAAATTGCTGTGAATATTTAAGGAAAAGAAAGAAAGGAAACCAAATGAACGTTACAAGAGAGTACGTTTTTTTTTTTTTTTTTTTTAATGACAACGGTTAATGGAAATGATAAGTTAAATCAGTGTCGAGAAGAACAAACAGAGACGTAAATAAAAATATATACGAACTGGAGAACAAAGGTTTGTACAAAGAGAAAAGAAAAAGCAATAGAACATCGCAGCCAACTTGGTTAACTTCTAAGAACGTAAGGTGCGTTTATGATGGACGTTACCTGGGCAGCAGATTCATCAGCCTAGCTAAAGGTCTGCATGGCGTCAAAGTGATCAGTATTAGTAAAAAAGGAAATGGGTGCACTTTTTCTGTGTTAAAATTCTGACAGAGGAAAGAATACAAAAAAAAAAGAAGAAGAAAGAAACGAGAGAAGAACTGTGCAAAGAACGTAAAAGTATAGAGGACACAAAAGTGGGCTCACCGGACCTGTTTAATGGTACAGTGGCGTAAACGTCTCTCTCTCTCTCTCTCTCTCTCTCTCTCTCTCTCTCTCTCTCTCTCTCTTAATTTCTCTTAATTTCTTTTTGAACAATTTACAACGTAAACTTCTTCGGTACGAGAAAAAAATCTATCCTAACTTTGATATTCCCAGACCATTGAAGTTTCATACATAATGTACATATTTTTAAAGCACGCATTCCACCAAGGACGCTTGTTCTATATTTTGCTTCAAGAAAAAAAAGAAAAAAAAAGAAGAAAAAAAGAAAAGTCATATCGGTACTCACCCTGTCTCTTCGCGTGCAGTTCTGGGATTCGCAAACCATTGGGTTACCTTTGCGTCAAACACCAGACTCAGTAGAAGATCCCTGTCGCAGTAATAGCTGTCTTTGTCCGCTTTGTATGGCGTGGCTGTTCGAATTGAAACAAGAATTCTGTTAGTTCTATCGTTCCATTTCTATTAGCATAGGACAAGGAGGAATTGGCAAGTGGCTTACGCTTTGATTTGCGGTGAGTGTCGTTACCGGAATTCGTGGCTGAATATTCCGGCGGCTGAGATGGCTGTTTCATGTCGTTCCATCTCCAGCCTGGCTGGCGGGTCCGCTCCAGAAAGTGCAGGAGCTGCTCTTCCGAGCTATTGAACGATCGCTCATCCTCGTAGTGATACCTGTGTATCAAAGAATGATATACTCGGTCAATATAATTTTTTACCAAAGAACAGCTGGTGAAATAAGTAGTTGTAAAAAGTGGATGTATGATGTGAATATTTTTGCCTATTTATCTACTCACTTGCAGTACAACCAATGTGGATGCACCCGCCAGTTTGTACCAGTGAAGTAATCAGACACGTTCTTGCCTACAATGAACAATCAAAATGTGAATTAAAATATGATTAACGAATAGTTAGAAATGTATGAAATTACATTGAATTACAATGAACGAAACTGGTGTGATCTCGCTTAAATTTAGAGAATTACACATGTATTTGTACAAAAAAAAAGTGTTACAAGATTTCTTGAGATTTAGACAAGTTCGAGCATCCTCCATGATTGCATTTTCAGAAGGAAGAGAAAACTTTGTGCTCGCTAGACTTTTCGATTATTATAAATGCAGGCAAAAGCTGTCAGGGTCTTCTGCAACTTTGTACGCGGGACGGAAAGTTTGCAATCAAACTTGTACAGAACTTTTCGTACGTTGCATATATATATTACCGTCATTGAATAAAACATTGAATCCTATTTGCACCGTCGAGAAGTTTCAAAACGAAGTTCTCTCGACTATTGAAAGTTCAGAGTTCACAGATGCGTCTGAGCATTTTGACTCGAGGATTCTGGCAATGAGATTTGTCTCGTGATCTTTAACATGTGAACGAATGACACGGAAAGCAGTTGCATTCTGAAATGTCGTTCTGCTGTCGTTGTCCAAAAGACTGCATTTTACGCACCACTAACGTGCGAACGATGTATTTCCTCGGTTGCGTGCACGCGGTAATTTCCAGTGTGTTCGTGTTCCGGCAGACTAACCACCACTGTGAACGGCGTCTTTGGTATGCCCGTGTAGTCGTATTTTCTCTTTATCCTACCAACACGTTTCTTCGGCAAAGACAAGGAGGGAGAATCCACAATTAATGTTCCTCATATTACAGTGTTCTAATTATTGCTTATTGATTTCAATATAACTCACCATATCGTCGTAATGATATTTCGTGTGCAGTGTCACGCTACCGTTTACTTGATTAACCACGTCATTTCGAAGCTGTGAACAAATCATCGTTACATATATATATATAGACAGTGATATAATTTCTAAGAGGCAAATTTATTCGTACCATAATGATTCCTTCGTCGAACTCCCTGGGTTCTTTATCCTGATCCATCAACTCGACTTCTGCCATGTCGACGCTATTGTACGCCGGCTTCAGAATGCCTTGAAACTATGTTTTCATTACGTAAATACACCAGTTCTTAGTTTGGGAAAGCGGACCATTAAGCAGGGAGGTATATTCTTAGAATGCACCGCTCTTCTTAAGTGTCCGCTTTCGGTCCCAATTGTAGGCACTTAAGAGGGCACTACTGTACATCGCTTGTTTTATGCGTGCAAGTGTCACATTTCACATGATTGCATGATAAAATAGGATAGAGCGAGGATAGTCCAAGAATTGATGGGGGTAAGCGACGGACACTTAACTGGAGACTACTGTAACTACCACTATTGACTGACATTTGAATCGTCAAGTGACATCGAGCAATTAGGAACGACGTTAAAGATAGATTGAAGAACTATCGAAGAGAAAATTTGCTTACCACTGGTCGGAGATCAGGATGAATCAGAATGAAACCGTTGTTCGTCACAATGAACGCGTATCCATTGACACCGAGCTATTCGTTATGAACAGAAAATAAGAGTAATTAATAGAAATGTACAGTTTTGAGAAGTATCCATTTCTAAAATGAGAATGTCATACTTACCAAATGTGGCATCATGAGCTTCTGTATCTCTTCGATAGGAACATCTGTGCCGGCGACACCGAGCAGATCAGCGATTCGTGTCTGCGCAGAGAGAGACATTCTTAAGAGACAGTTTCGACAAAATTCAGCGGACAAGACGATCGATTAGCGTGTCAAAAAATCAATTACGAATCATCATCACCATCTCAAGTCGCATAACCATAAGCGTATCTACCTTATATCTCCAATATAAACGCTATCACAATGAATTCGTCTAATGACACACGTTCTAGTATTAAAAAAATAAAAAGACAAACGATAGTTACTAAAAAAAAAAAAAAAAAAAAAAAAAAAAAAAAAAAAAAAGAAAACTATAGCAATATTAACAGTAATAATAATGATAATAATAATAATAATAGTAATAATAATAATGTTCACTGACGATACTGCTGGACGTATAACTAGCTCAACTACGTTCTCAATAATAACAATAATAATAATAATAATAATAATAAGAACGATACACAATAAGAACAATTAACGTCTGACGCAGCAGGCTGTCCTAAGTGTTAATAATCAAATCACAAATTAGCCACGCTGTTTTATTGTTCCGATAGCCATTTCTCTCTTCTCAAATTTATTGCCAACTTGGAGATGGAACATGCCTAGCGTAAGCATTGCAAATTTCATTATTGTCAATCATTCTGTTTGCTTCTTCTTTCGTCACACGGCGAACATGAGAAAAGATGGAGAAAAAGATGGCTATAGGGACGATGCTCGAGTAAAGTTCTACTATGTTACTTGTCTAGCGTAATCTAGCACTCAATAAAACTGATCAAGAGTCGTACCACGTGTGCTTGGTACTCTTTTTTTTTTTTCTAACCCAACCAAAATATTCTCTCTTATGTTCAGAGTATACGTATATATGTATATATATATAGTCACTGCAGAACCAGAAGTTCTTCTACGAGTCTCAATGATAATAATAATAATAATAATAATGATAATAATAATAATAATAATAATAATGATAATGATAAATGTCAATAGGAGGTGTCGCCGTTCGCAATCCAACAGGCGGGATAATTATCCGTTCTTTTCTTTTTTTTTTTCTACTCGTCTCGAACACAGGGCACAGGGTAGACTAAAGTACCTAAACCTACCTAATGATTAAACTAAAGTCCAATACTAATGTTAGTACCAAAGTAAGATACGAGAGAGACGAACGTGGACCTAAATGGAACGGAAGATTGTTGCACGACGTCGATTTCATCTCTGGCTATCCACGTTTGGCTTGATACAGCTCTCAATTTATGTTGAATCGTACAGAGAACAAAACAGCATCCAGACACCAGACAAGGTTAATCTTTTCATCACAAACGTGGCAGCAAACGTGGATACCAGAAAGGATCGAGCCGTTGTTGTTTGAATACGAAAAAAAGTGAGGGGTTGGGGATACAGGGCTCTATGCATTGAAACAACGTTGCTTGTGTGTTTTTTGTTTAGCTGCCAACCTCTCTTGTCTCTGTCACCCAGTATGCTTCGTTCACCAGCACCTGCCTTGTGATGTTCTGTGGACAAACAGGAACTTAAAACCAAAGGAAGAAATGCACTCAATCGCGGGATTCGCTGGTTTTTCGCGCGACTAAACGTTTAATCCGCTAATGGACAAAGAGGGGAAAACACACAACACGTGTCGTTATGTCGTCTGATCGATTACACGAAAGTGGTGGGGTGAGAAAGGGGCTATCGTGGGGAGATAGAGAGATAGAGAGATAGAGAGAGAGAGAGAGAACGATGATTGTGAATGCGTGCGTGCTCAAGATAAATATTAACCTCTTGCGCTGGAATGACGTGCCACGCATGTCGAGAATATTCGGCCCAAAATTGCAATATTTTCTCAGTTTTAAGTAGATTTATAACCCAGGCAAAACAAATAATAAATTTATTACTACTTAGTAATTTCTATCCAATGACATACCGATGAATTCAAAAAGAAGACGAATTATTGTATACGATTATTTGGTCACTCGTTATGGTCCGCAATCAGTTGCCAGCGCAAGCGGTTAATCTTAACCTCTTGCGCTGGAATGACGTGCCGCGCACGTCGAGAACTCTTTGTCCCAAAATTGCAATACTTTCTCAGTTTCAAGTATATTTAAGTAAAACGAAATAGGCAAAACAAATAATAAATTTATTATTACTTCTCAATGATTTCTATCCAGTGATATCGTACCGACGGGTTCAGAAAGAAAGCGACGAATTATTATATACGGTTTGGTCACTCGTTATGGTCCGCAATCAGTTGCCAGCGCAAGTGGTTAATACCACCATCATTCATTTCACTTCGTTCGGTAATTATATCGAACACGTACGTGCGGTAATAATCTTGGAGGGATTGTCCATTGTATTCGGCAATGATACGTGATCCATATTGAACGATCGATATCTGACGCAGATAGAGTGTATCTCACCGTATATAATAATTATTAATAGAACGGGGTTAATGATAATCTGGCGTACAGCGATGGGGACGTTAATCTATTCTCGATAATAACACACACACGTTGCAGGATATTTTTAGTGATACCTATAGTTGAATTTTTTTTCTTTTTTTTATTTATGGACTCTTATCGTAGCGTGTGATGTTGAATATATAATAATACTTGTCGGATATATCTGAATTTCAAAATTTTTATGTATAGCGACGATTACCATCAGAGACAGAATACAATTACTTTTTGCAAGGAAATATTAATATCAGGTTCGGTAAAACCTAACGTAAAATACCAACGTAACGTCGAACGTTGGCGTTCCCAGCAAAGTACGTTTCTAGAGAATTCATTATTCCTGGTACTGAATAGCGCCGAAGAAAGGGAAATCTTACCGCGTTCTCTCGTCGGTCAAACACCGGCATGCTAACCGATGTCATTAGTCGATATTCCACGAGATCGCCGCTCTGGTCGTGCGATTTCTTCTGCTTTTGCACGAACCTGCGATCTCGTTCCTCGGTATTGAGCTTCCTCCTTCCGTGAAGCCTGAGGAACCTCTGCTTCTGTTCCTCGCTCTCCCTCTGCTCCCACCACCAATCAGTCATCTTTGGATCGGTCACGTCGGCGTAGACCGGAGTCCAGATCGTCGGATGATCCGTACGACCGAGGACCAACGGCCTCGCCATTACAGGAACATATTTAAGGACCTTAAATACGACAGTTTTGTCGATCAATTCACGGTTGAGGTACAAAACTATAAGCCAAAAATAAATATCATAAAGATGCTACGGCATTTTGTAAAAATTAAATACCTCCTCTCTGACTTCGGCCAAAGTGCAGAGATGCACGAAATAACCTCTGTTGGCACAGGCCATCCATTGGACCTCCTTCACGTCCGCTACCTCCCTCCCGATCAAGTAAGTGAACATTCTGACTGGCATGTCGGCTTTAAACGGCTCGTTGGGATTGTCTCTCCAGTTGTAAGTTTCGAAGATCTCTTTGTAATTGTAAGGGACGCCGTCTGTTATCAGCATGATCGCCTGGTTGCACCTGGCCCCTTCCCTCTCCATTCGATAGCTCTCGAGGAGCTCGAACGCGGTGGTCAAGGCCAGCGAGAAATTCGCGATCTTCTCCGTGTCGAGATTCAGGATCGCCCTCTTCAGTTCTCTCACGTTCGCCAAGTTGGCTTGGACCAGGGTGTCGTTGAAACACGGCACCACCTAAAATACAATTTCTTTATCTTTTTCTACGAGTAATAATTCGCCCAGTATTTTTTAACTTCTCTCTAGTTTTTTTCATTTAACTCATAAGTCTCTCTCTCTCTCTGTCTTCGTTTACCTCTTTCGTGACATTGGAGAACGTGATGATGTTGACGAAATCGTTGTTGCCAAGAGTGTCCAGTATGTTGTTCACCACGTGTCTGGCGATTTCCCTGCGAATCCCGGTCATACTACCGGAGGTGTCGATTAGGATAAGCACGTCCTTTGGACTGGTAGCCGCCTCGATGTACCAACTTCTGGTTCTACAGTCGAACAAGTCTACGGGCTCCATGACCCAGTTCATCGCCGGGTACTGCCTCATAAAACCGGTCGCGCTACCGAAATACTGCCAAGACAGCGAGGGATCTTGCTCGTAGTTGTTGATGAAAGTTTTGTCCAGCTCCTCGGACCATTTGATCGCTCTGATCACGTTCGACGCCCGGTCATAGACGTTCGTCGGCACGTGCACCGCCGACATGTTCAGATTCACTTGGCCACCGAAGTGGGCGCTCTGTTTCAAGTCGATCGTGTTGTTCTTTGCGTTGATGAACACGAAGGACTCCGGGGGGTCGGCGTCTGGAGCGGACAACGCCGACGTTTCCGCGACGTCCATGATTCTCTATGATAACAGTTAGAAATTTAGAAATTTAATCACATTATTATAAAGCTTGGAACATTATTACATTACATTACAAATTGTAAAATTCAAAACATAATTTTTAATTATATTGCTATGAAACTTGGAAACTTAATTGTATTGTTATAAAACTTAGAAACTCTTGGAATTTAATTATATTATATTATTACAAAGCTTG